GATGCTGACTGCTTCTTGAGGTAAAAGCAAACAGCAATTTGAGCTGACAGCCAGTGATTACCTGGAGGTTGGGGACAGTAGGGAGTGAACTGAAAGCACAGAACAGAGGGCTGTTCTGAAATGCTCTCTTCTGAAACGGCTACAACATCCTATTTAATTTACTCCTTATTCTGCTTCACCTGCTCTTAAAATGGACAGATTTTAACATCTGAGGCAGGCACTGACCTGATAACAATGACAATAAAAACAATGATGATGATAACAATTGCAGCATTAGAACCAGTTGCTAACATAGAGTTTTAAACCCTCAACAATCTTGGGTCATCCTTGGTCAAAAGTATACATTGGGGGACCAGCAGTAATGGCTATGTCATTGGACTCCCACGTAGTCAACCGCGGTTCAAGTCCCGGACCCAGTGGCTTAAACTCACGCCAGGCGCGTGTGCGTGTGTGCCCAAGATCCCGAGAGGAGAATGGAGGAGAAGGGATTGCGGCATGGCCATCCCCCCTGGGGGGTGATATCTCGCTTTCTGTCTCTCTGTCTCTCTGTCTGGCAAGCGCACGCGCCCTATAGCAAAAACCTCTCCCCCATAAAAAAAGAAAAAAAAAAGTATACATGGGGGACCATCCCATTTGGTTAAGGGAACCAGATTCCACGTGACTGACCACACAATTTGAGTCCTAGACCTAGTGGCTTGAGAAATATGCTGGGTGCATGTGTGTGTGTGTCTCCAAAGAAGATGAAGAAATAGAGGAGAAGGGAATGTGGCATGACATTGAGGGTGCTTTCTCTCTCCTGTCTTTCTGTCTCTATGGCTAGTGTCCATGTCCTCTGGCAAAATAAAAAAAGAAAGTGTTCATTGGGCCTTCAGCAAATGATCAAACAAGGGTCCAGAATACAGGAATGTGACAAGCTCAGTGGTCCAGGGCAACAAAGACCATAATATCCTTCTGGGTGAAAATAGGACAGTGTAAATGCTAAAAGCAAAATAAAACAGTGGCTCACAAACAAGAACATGTCATATGAGGGGTCCTCCAAAAGTTCACAGAAAAACGGAATTAAAGTCTGAATTTATTTGGGAGCCAAAAATGTGAAATTCATGCATACTTTATTTACAACGCACATTCATTTTCCACTAAGTTTTTGAATGTGGGAAGTTAAGTGAAGCTGCTGCCTAGCCAAGACACCATCTTTGTTTTATTTTTATTGCCAAAAGGCAAATGCACTTGCCAGAGAAAGACAGAGAAAGTAACCCCCCAGTGGGGATGGTCACACCACAATCCTTTTCCTACATTTCTTCTTGCCATCAGGATGTTGGGCATGAGTTTGGGCATGGACATACACATGTGCCTGGTGTATTTTTCAAGCTGCCAGGGTGGGGACCTGAACCACAGTCAGTCACGTGGGATCTGACTCCGTTACTCACTACTTTATGGGGCTGGCCTTACTATTTTGTTTGTTTATTTGTTTTGTCAGCACTAATAGGAACAAGCCATCCTAAAGACATAAGCATACCAGAGTGGAGACATTTAATTTTCAACTTTGTTATGAAAAAAAAAAAACAACAACAACATTTTAGTAGCTAGATTACTATGACCAATTTTTTCCATTTGAAGCCTTAGACGGCAATGTGCCAGTCTGAGTAGGATGTGGGCATGCTCACAGGAAACCACACCCAGCAGCTAGAAATTGTATTACAACTCTGGTCAGTTTAATGAGAACACAGTCAATGCTGAAATAAACAAAATGCACTTATAATAATACTATACTTAGGGACTAACTTCAAGCCCTTGAATTTAGCTAGATTAGCATTCCTTATTTATAAGCATTCCATTCTTATCCATTCTGTTTATTATGTGCATAGTATATATGGCATCTCCCAAGGAGATTGGAGGAGAAAGGATTGCATATTTGAAAACTCTGTGTCAATTTATTTTAAATAAAGAAAAGTATTAGAAATTCCCCCTTAATGATATATGTAATCACTTCATCTCTCCACAACTTAAACTCACATCTCCACAAGTACACTATCCCCTTCCATCATCTCAATGGTTTGTAACCAGGGGATAATTTGTTTGGCAATGTCCGCAGACATTTTTGACGGTTATAACTGGACAGGGGTGCTACTGGCATCCAGTGGGTAGAGGCCAGGGTACTGCTAAACACCCTGTAGTGCACAGGATGCCCACTCATGACACAGAATTATCCATCCTCAATGGTTGATAGGGCCCCAACAGGGAATCCCTGCAACACCCACATGTGGACAGTAACTTGTTTTTTCAGGAGGAGAACAAAATGCGAGAGGTGTGAGGGGAGACCTTCTCATTTGATCTTCCATGCTTACCACAGACACAAGCTAGTTTGCCAGAATTAACTCTGGGATTTGTAACTCAGGACAGACTATTCCAGGACATAAAGCTTCTGAACTGCTTATAAATATTAATATGCAAGTTCCACAAACTTAAGATTCAAAGACATAACGTGCAGTCTATGGATCAATCTTAAGAAAACTACAGTTGCTCATAAGAGATGATATAGAAAAGGTTCCAGAATATTTAAACCTGGACCTCTCTCAGGCTAGTAGGTGATATATAGGTTTGAGTTGCTAGATCCTACATAGTCAACTATGCTATTCAAGTCCTGACCCAGAGGCTTAAAAATCATACCTGCAGGTGTGCCCAAAAATCCCAAGGAGACTGGAGGAGAAGGGACTGTAGCATGGCCATCCCCTCTGGAGGGTGATTTTTCACTTTCTCTCTCTCTCTCTCTATCTGGGTAGTGTACATACCCTACAGCACAAATCTCTCTCTTAAAAAAACAAACTCATTTACAAAAACATCCAATAAAAAACAAACTACTTAAAGATAAATATGTGAAAGATTTATATATTGCAACTACAAAATACGACTGTGAGAAATTAAAGAATAAGAAAAAGATATGCTACATTACATTAAGATATGAGACCAGCAGATGGCATAATGGTTACATTGCTGGACTCCCACATAGTAAACTGTGGTTCAAGTCCTGAACCCAGCAGCTTAAAACTTACACCAAGTGCATGTGCGTGCATGCATACTCAAAATTCCAAAAGGAGAATGGAAGAGAAGGGACTGTGATCTGGCCATCTACCCTGGGGGGGGTGATTTCTCACTTTCTATCTCTCCAGCGAGTGCATGCATCCTATAGCAAAAATCTCTCTTAAAAAAATCATATATGTGTGTGTGTATATATAAAAATATGTGTGTATATATATAAATAAATTTATATATATATATATATATATATATGCCTTCATTGTTGTTAGGATATCATTCTCTTCGAATTGACCTGAACCACAGTCAGTCACGTGGGATCTGACTCCGTTACTCACTACTTTATGGGGCTGGCCTTACTATTTTGTTTGTTTATTTGTTTTGTCAGCACTAATAGGAACAAGCCATCCTAAAGACATAAGCATACCAGAGTGGAGACATTTAATTTTCAACTTTGTTATGAAAAAAAAAAAACAACAACAACATTTTAGTAGCTAGATTACTATGACCAATTTTTTCCATTTGAAGCCTTAGACGGCAATGTGCCAGTCTGAGTAGGATGTGGGCATGCTCACAGGAAACCACACCCAGCAGCTAGAAATTGTATTACAACTCTGGTCAGTTTAATGAGAACACAGTCAATGCTGAAATAAACAAAATGCACTTATAATAATACTATACTTAGGGACTAACTTCAAGCCCTTGAATTTAGCTAGATTAGCATTCCTTATTTATAAGCATTCCATTCTTATCCATTCTGTTTATTATGTGCATAGTATATATGGCATCTCCCAAGGAGATTGGAGGAGAAAGGATTGCATATTTGAAAACTCTGTGTCAATTTATTTTAAATAAAGAAAAGTATTAGAAATTCCCCCTTAATGATATATGTAATCACTTCATCTCTCCACAACTTAAACTCACATCTCCACAAGTACACTATCCCCTTCCATCATCTCAATGGTTTGTAACCAGGGGATAATTTGTTTGGCAATGTCCGCAGACATTTTTGACGGTTATAACTGGACAGGGGTGCTACTGGCATCCAGTGGGTAGAGGCCAGGGTACTGCTAAACACCCTGTAGTGCACAGGATGCCCACTCATGACACAGAATTATCCATCCTCAATGGTTGATAGGGCCCCAACAGGGAATCCCTGCAACACCCACATGTGGACAGTAACTTGTTTTTTCAGGAGGAGAACAAAATGCGAGAGGTGTGAGGGGAGACCTTCTCATTTGATCTTCCATGCTTACCACAGACACAAGCTAGTTTGCCAGAATTAACTCTGGGATTTGTAACTCAGGACAGACTATTCCAGGACATAAAGCTTCTGAACTGCTTATAAATATTAATATGCAAGTTCCACAAACTTAAGATTCAAAGACATAACGTGCAGTCTATGGATCAATCTTAAGAAAACTACAGTTGCTCATAAGAGATGATATAGAAAAGGTTCCAGAATATTTAAACCTGGACCTCTCTCAGGCTAGTAGGTGATATATAGGTTTGAGTTGCTAGATCCTACATAGTCAACTATGCTATTCAAGTCCTGACCCAGAGGCTTAAAAATCATACCTGCAGGTGTGCCCAAAAATCCCAAGGAGACTGGAGGAGAAGGGACTGTAGCATGGCCATCCCCTCTGGAGGGTGATTTTTCACTTTCTCTCTCTCTCTCTGTCTCTCTCTGGTAAGTACACACACCCTATTGCAAAAAAAAAAAATGATTGGACATCTTTCTTGTGCAGTGTCTGCATAATATCATTTTAATATGCTAAAATTGGTCAAGAAAGAGCTTTCCACATTTATTTGGTTGGACAAGTAGAGAAACAATGAGTTATTCCCACTATTTTTAAGGCATCAAATCCCACACTGGAATGCCAGTGACAGCATAGCCACAAATGCTTAATGCGCGTGATTGTTATAAACCAACAGCCTTTTGCTCTCTAAGGCAATGGGGTACTCACGGGTCCGGTTCCGGGTTTTGTAAGTGCAGGTATAGAGGCTGCAGCGCCTCACGGGTGTGGACCTCGGAATCTGGAAACTTCGCCACAGCCATCTGCATGAAGATGCTTGAAGAATGGCCCTCAGGCTGTTGAGCACTACCATCCTCCACTTGAAATTCTGACAGCTTCCAAATAACTTGCAGGAGCCTAAAACCTAGAGGGAGGAGGGCAGAGGAGGAAAAGCTGTGAACAGTATAGCTTAGACAACAAGAGAGACTTAGATCATGTGGAAACCTCTAAGCAGGACAACATTCAGACTAGCAGTGCACACCCTGAAGTGCAGGGGGAAGAGAGGGGGGCAGCTGAGAGTCAGGGTTTATCCACTCTTGTTCCGCAGTTCATTGGTCCCCTCAGTGGAGGGCAGGGTCCAGATGACTGACTCAGAGGCGCTGCCTCTTCCTTGGGGTTGGCAAACAACAGAGGTCCCGAGGACAGATTCTCTTTATCCACCCGAAAGACTGTTTACAGGACAGTTTCTCAAAATTAAACCAAATTTACTTCCTGAAACTCTGATTATTTATTCATCATGGTGTTCACATGTCAGAAGAAGACAAAACTTAAAGCTCTCTCCAGGCAACTACAATAAAAATAATCTGCTTCCGGATTACTTAAAAAAAAAAAAACAGAAAAAAAAATACCCATGACACATCCTGCCAAAATAGTTGTGGGCGGTTTTGAAATCTCACTTTAAATCCAATCCATGACTCTGCCAGTTTTAGGTGCAACACTCTGGCTCTAGAACATGGGAAAAGCGGACAAAGTTAATACTGAACTCTCTATTTCTCACATGTTCACAGTGAAAGTTCCAGAAGATGATGCTTTCTAAGGTTTTCATTATGGTGGTCAAAAATCACAGTATTATCAACTTTGGATGCTTCTCCCTCTGCCTCCATTACTGCTTCATTGACTTTTCCTGAAAACTCCTATCCCTGTACCAAATGAACAAACAAGTTGAAAAACATTTTCCCCCTTGATAACACACTCATTCCACTATAGACTTTGAAGTGTTTAGTGTGGTTACTTGAGGTGCATTGGGGACACCATCTGAGCAACCACAATGGACATGGCTGCAAAGACGCCTGCCCTGGTCCTGGCGAACCTTATCTTTGGGTCCATTTGTGCTTCTGCCTGCCCACCAGCCATGGGGGCCTTAGTTCTCCAGCTTCTGCTGCCCTCTCCAGCCTGTGCAGATGCCCTTCTTCCCTGCACTGCGCCCCCATACCCCCACAAATACATCTATGCCTGGCTAATTCCCACACAACCTTCCAGTGACTGCCTCCAGTGTCCCCTCCTCAAAGACATCCTTGACCACATTCACCAGGTTAGCCCACACCCTCTTTTAGGTGTAGTGGTTATCACCCCTGAATTAAGTACCAGATTGGGACGACTCCATCCTCTCCAGAATCTGAGCCTCAAGGTGTGGGGTGGTAGGGGCTGAGTCAGTCTCAGTCACAGTGGCATCTGATAGGGACACAGTCCCTGGCATACAATGAGTGCTCCAGGAGTACTCGCTGGCTGACCTGAGCAGGCTGCCTCGGTGACAGAGGTGTTGATACTAATTTCAAGCACTAAGAACTGTGACATGATTGCTGGCATGTTTTGGGACAGTACTCAGGGTCATTCTTTTTCTCAAATGCCACCATTACTCATTTGTAGGATTGTTTATACTATTCTTTTCATTATTATTACCGATTAAAAAATAGCATGCATGCACATGCGTAAGAGACACCCCTACAGGATCTGGGCATTCTGGAATCCCCTCCTCCTGTCCTCATCTTGTCAGGATGCTAGGCACGTGTATGCACACCCCAGTACATTTCAAGTTAACTGGGCCGGGGCCTTTAACCATGGTCAGCATGCGGTTTCCAGCTCCATGATCTGATTTGCTACCAACCACACCACAGAGGTGAGCCAGGGTTGTTTATACTCTTGAAACACTTAAATGCTTGTTCTTTAAGAGGAGGGTCTCATAGCTCTCCTTATAAGGTCTATAGGACCCCAAAGTCCTGCCTGATCCTAAAGAAGAGACCCAAATGTGAACCTAACCTCATCTCACAGGGATGGGATTCACACCAGTAAGCACGTTCATTTCAACACTATTTCCCTCCAGGCACAGGAGCTGTGATGCAACGACCAGGTTTGCACTCTGCCTTCCAGGTGTGCAACATCTCCCAGTAGGGGCCTCTTGAAATGTATAAAGTGTGGGAAGGGGAACACACAGCAAACCAGCTCAAAGAGGGAGGGGTGCTTGTATCACTCCAGATCCTGCCCAAAGGATGACTCTCAGCAGGATGGCCTTGTGTATTGTGTATGGGAGTGAAGGGAGGGAGGTTGGTGAAAGGCACAGAAAGAGAAGTGGAGGGGCGTTAAAGACATATGTCACCTATGGATGGCAATTTTACTTCCTCACATTACCTTTCCAAGAGGAGCATAAGACACAAAAAGCCACACCACAATCTCAGCAAGGCTGAGCAGGGAGACAGGCGCTGGGATATCACCCTCCCCTCTTTCCATGAGCATCCTGCTAGTACTTGGTCATGAACTAGCTGTTCTTCCTCATCTCTAGGGCCACCTCCCTACCTGGGGTCTTTAGGCCAGTGACATCTACAGAATGTCTAGTCTGCCTTAAAGGTACCAGAAATTAGTGAGAATCCTCCAATAAAACCACCTATGTACCTAGTATGTCATTTCAAGGCTGTTCATGGTCAATTATGTTTTATTTAAGCACTCTCTCCTCATTTCTCTTATTTGGGTTATTTTTAAATAAATTCCAGACATCAGATCAATTTATTCAAGACTGTATATTTCCGAGAAAAATATGTGAAACTCAGCGTATTCTCTATGAGAACTATCTATATGAAATAGCCTTGTGGGGGCCAGCAGGTGGCGGTGGTTAGGGGCACTGGACTCCCACACGGCCAACCATGGTTCAAGTTCCAGACCTGGCAGCTTGCTTTCTCACTTTCCCTCTCTCGCTCTCTCCCACTCTGTCCCTCTGTGGTCAAATCAATATAAATAAATAATTAAATAAAAATTCTTTTTTTTTTTTTAAAGAAATATCCTGTGAAGGTTTATTATAGAATATAAAAACTATCAACTTTTCAGTATTAAAAAAAGTAGGGTCTGGACAGGGCAAGAGAGAAAGAAGTCACCCTCTGAAAGTGAAAAAGCACCCTCTGGGGGGATGGGCACACCACAATCCTTTCTCCTGGTACAGCAGTAGGACACGACACTGTGCGAGGCTGACTCACATGGGAAGGTTCTGGGATCATGTCTGGAGACCTCCTTAAGTACCCATGCACGTGTGTGCCTATGATCTGGGGCTTGCTGAAGCTAGGGGTGGATGGTGCCGCATTAAGACCCTGTTATGGGTACTCTCTCTCTGTCTCTCTCGCCCATGGAAGAAATAAACATTAAAAAATAGTCAAAAAGCCCAGTAACCTGATAGATTTTCTCCGTATCAACCTAACCCTTAATGTAAACAGTTCACCTCTCTTGATAACTCTACCCTCGTCTTGGATGAAAGCTTAGATTAGAAACTTTATCTTCTTTTTAACTTGGAACACCATGTTCAGCATGAAACTGCCTAGTTTATAATTGCAGTTCAACAGACTAAAGGGATTATTTGAACTGAAACATTCAAGACTAAGCCTTAATGTACATTCCTAAACTTATGTAAGAACTTAGAACCAGAGAAGCAGGAAAAATTGTTGCTCAATAGCACTGTCCTGAAAGTTGATTCTCTGTGACTTCAAATGGTGCTAGCTATAAGAATGCACTTTGAAAATGCTGTTCAGTGTTTATAAATGTAATTTCTTATTATTCAATTTGAGCTTGCTAAATAAATAAAACAACTAAGAAAATACAAAGCAGTTTAGGGTGACTTTTAATATCATTTTTGTATTTTTTAGAGGTTTTTGCCACAGGGTGTGTGCACTTTCCAGAGAGAGAGAAGCAGAGACAGTGAGAGGGAAAGTGAGAAATCATCCCCCAGGGGGATGGCCATGCCGCAATCCCTTCTCCTTTGCTCTCTTCCTGTAATCTTAGGTGTGTACACATGCATACCTGATGTGATTTTCAAGTCCCTGGGTCCAGACTTGAACCATGGACAGAAATGTGGGAGTACAGTGATGTAACCACTACACCATCTGCTGGGCCCTTCATATTTGAATTTTCCTTTCAAGAGAGATTTTTGTGTGCACATATGTTCACCAGAGGGACAGAAAAAGACAGACAGAAAGAGAGAAGTTCCTCCCCCCCCCCCCCCCGGGAGGAAGGGCATGCTGCAATTCTTTCTCCTCCATTTTTCTCTCGGGATTTTGGGCATGCCTGCATATGCACCCAGTGTGAGTTTTAAGCCTCTGGGGCTGGCTGTTGACTATGTGGGAGTCCAATGATGTAACTATTTTGCCATCTGCTGGTCCCCATTTTTTAAAATTTTAAGCCAATATCATAAAACAATTGCAACTAATCAGGATTCTCTCTGATATAATTGATTTGACATTAAAACGAACTTTCGAGAACTGCTAAGAGAGGGCCCAGCTGGATAGCATGGAGGTTAAAGCAGCTGGATCCCATATGGCTGACTGTGTGGTCCCGGACCCAGTGGCTTGCAAACTACACCAGGCACATGTGCATGCATGCCCCACATCCAAATGTATGCTTTCTCTCCCTCTCTGTCTCTCCTGCAAGCTCACATGCTCTATATTTAAAAAAGAGAGAGAGAGAAAGAAAAAGAACTGCTCAGAACTATGTGGTGGTGGTTAAAACACTGGATTGTCACGTGGCTCACTGTGGTTCAAGTCCCAGACCCGGTGACCTGAAAAACACAACAAATAAATAAATAAGTAAATGTTAAAAAAGAGAGAGAGAGAAAAAGAAAGCGATATGGGGAAACTTTGCCTTCACTCTGCTAAGTGAAGATAATGGTGAGTCCATTATCTTCCATCCCTGAACTGAAGCAATAATGGGCCATTAGCTCATGTAAGGCACTATGCTGGTGTGAAGATGAAAGACTCATGACCTCTCCTCACTCTCACAAGCTTGCAATCTATGAGGAAAACAATCTAAATAAATACTGCTGTCTCTCTTTCTAAAAGTAAGCGATCTTTTTTTTTTTTTAATTGCCAGAGGGTGTGTACACTTACAGGGGGT